TCTTGAGAACCCCAGAGCCCCCCCAGGGATCCCAAAAGTACCTTGGCTCCCCCCAGAGCCCCCTGAGCCCCCCAGGACCCCGACCTGCTCGAGGCCATGGGGCACGGCCAATACCCCCTGCACCCCAGGGACCCCCCAGGCCCCCCCTGGAGCACCTCAGGAGCATCTGGGGACCCCCAGGACCCCCGACCTGCTCGAGGTGGTAGAGCACGGCCGACACCTCCTGCACCCTCCGGACGATCTTCTCGGGGCTGTCGGAGTCCTCGGCCTTGCCGGCCATCTCGCGGTACAGGGCCATCTGCCACCGCATGGAGGAGTTGTTCTCGCACTGGGGACACAGGGGACACGGTGACCACGGGGACGTGGCGGGGCACACGGGGGTACAGGCACCGTGATGACCACAAGGACCATGGGGGAACGTGGGGACCATGGGGATACAGGCACCGTGATGACCATGGGGATGTGGGGACCACAAGGACCATGAAGACGTGGGGATGCAGGCATCGTGATGACCATGAGGACACGGTGGGGGACATGGGGACCACGGGGACACAGCGGGGCACATGAGGATACGGGCATCGTGGGGACATAGGGACCATGAGGACACAGTGGGGACCACGAGGACCACAGGGGTCCAGGCACCGTGCTGGCCATGGAGACATGGGGACCACAGGGAGAGATGGTGGGGACCGTGGGGATACAGGCACCACAAGGATGTGGGGACCACGGGGATGTGGGGGGGACACAGTGGCGACAGGGGGGACATGGTGGGGACGGGCCACCTCACCTTGCCCTGCAGGTGCAGGTTGTTGTTGAGGAACTCCCGCACCTCCTCGTCCGTGTCCTTCTGCAGGGGGGGGATGTGACAGGGCCAGGTCAGGGGCTGTCCCCAACGCCGGGGGCTGTGCCCAGCCCCACCGCCCCGCCACCCACCAGGGCGTAGCGGCCCTTGGCCAGGCTGATGAGCTCTTGGTCGGTGGGCGAGCACATGTTGAGGCCGATGGGCAGCATCTTCTTCAGGGTGGCGACGATGAGGGAGGTGTGGATGGAGTACCGGTCCCCTCGGCGCTTCTTCTTCGTCCGCTCCTGCTCCGAGCCACCCCCCTGCGGGGACAGGGACGGGGGCGTCAGGGCCACCACCCCAGGCCAGGGTATGGGGGTGTCAGGGACAGGACCCCAATGTCACAGGGATAGGGACATCAGTGGCAGGACCACCATGCCATAAGGGCCATCAGCACCAGGACCCCCATGCCACAGGGACAGGGACATCGGTGTCCCCCATAAGGATGGGGACATCAGTGCTGGGACCCCCGTGCTACAGGGGTGGGGACATCAGCACCAGGACCCCTGTACCACAGGGCCTGAGGACATCAGGGACAGGACCCTGGTGCCACACAGCTCCAGAGGTCCCAGATGTAGCCCTGTGGGGCAGGACCCCGGGGTGCCCTTGGGGGTCCCAGCCGTGGTGACCCCAAAGAGCAGGACCCTGGGGGGGTCCCGGGGGTCCCAGCCATGGTGGCCACACAGAGCAGGACCCTGGGGTCCCAGCCATGGTAGCCCCAAAGAGCGGGACGCTGGG